TGCGACGCGCTGATGAGATCCAAAAAGATCGAAATCGCGATCCGCGTCTGGCAGTTTCGACAGAATACAGACCACTTCGAATTATTTTAAAGAGAGCGTGTTCGCACAATCACGTCCCAAGTTTCATATTAGAGAACCTTCTCACTCTTAAGAATTATAAAAACTAGGTTAAGATTTAGTTTTATCTAAGTTTGTGATATGTAGGGTAGAGGTAAGTAGAACTATCCCATATAGGGGGAATGTTGAAAAAGTGTCCAGCTCTAAGAAATGAATAACAGTTAAACCCGCCAAAATGGCGCTAGGGCAGACAAAAGGTATGGTACGAATGTAACAGCTGTTGACATATTGAGGTATGACGAGTTAAGTTGTAACCTCATAATGACGCTTGACGCTAGCGTTGAGCGTCAAATTATGGCTCCATCTATCTCAGATTAGAAGAATCATGTCTGACGTCAAACATCAGCGTCAATCTAAAAAAATAACCAGAGAAAAAATCGCAAGTCGATATCTCGATATATACTTACCTCTAACCTAATTTTTATAAAAGCACGTAACAATTGCAAACAAAAAACTTATAACTACAATAAATATTAAACATTATAGAAAATTCTTCAGCCTGCTTTCAGGAATCGTGGGAATGGGTGGGTGGTGGTTCGGGTGGGAAAGATGAGACGGACGAAATGAAGACAGAAAAGAATGAAAGATTATCTGTAGAATATTACTGCCCTAGCATTGGCCTAAATGATCCAACGAAAACGGCGTCGTCCCGAATGCTAAGCAGTGGTCTAAACATCTAAGCCATGCTGTTGATTAGCTGGTACNCACTGAAATTCTTTCAATATCGATTACTATCGAGTTCGATTATATACATTCTGAATTAGCTGTTGATCTTTAAAATAATAAGCTAATTTGTGTTTAGATTTTTACGATTTGACGTTACAAGATTTTTTTCTAGGTGGCAGTATAGCCTAAATTGATCACGTGATGTGATTTGACGCTCAAAGCTAGCGCCAAGCGTCAGCATGAGGTTACACCTTTAGAAAGTTGAATATTTTTAGTGACTAGAATAGTCAGTGACAGTTCAGAATATCAAGGGTGTGTTCCGAAATATAACCCAGCATACTGGCCAGTGCTGATGACGTCATGAATCGACGCCATATTGTACTGGTGTGCCACCATATTGTACTGGTGAGACAAGTTCGACGTAGTAGTATTTCAAACGGGCGTGTTTGCATCAGACTTTGACGAATTTTTTATTGTATGAAACTTTAATAACTTTTGGAGCAAAATTATTGTAAACGAACACAAACACTATTCTCAATATGGCGTCAATTTGACGTCAACACACTGGCCAGTATGCTGGGTTATATTTCGGAACACACCCCAAACTTCAACTATTTACGTAGTTCAAAGTAATTTTGTTTTTGTTTATTTTTCTATCCTATTCTACTAACTCTTAGCGTTTCATTTGAAATTTACCCCGTTGCTACTGTTGCACCCTAATTTAAAGCAGTTTGACGGACACTTTTTCACTACAAGAATGGTACTCCTTACCTCTACCCTCCATAGTTTGTTATGAACTTTTGTTTTACTTTCTTTTGAAAAGAGATTCATTTATAATTACGAGAAAGCAATTGTATAGATCGCTACTAGTTCTCGAGAATTTTAACTAAAAGTACTGAAATTGTCGTTTAATAAAAATTAAAAGGAATACTCACCCCTAATTACCACAAATTATTTTATATGAGCGGACACGTGTTTCGCCCACTTCATACGTGGGCATTATCAACGCGAGACTCGTATGAAGTGGG